AAATTCACTCGCTCGAAGGTTAATAAGCATAAGTAATACAAATGACAGCATTAAATACTTAAAATGGTGGTCAGTTTTAATGACTGGATGCTGGTGCTTTTAACAAACATAACACCTTACACTATTTCATCCAATCACAGCTGTCACATGTCTCTTCAGTTACGCCTCAGTGAGCAAACGATTCTGCTGTTAGTAGTAGTACTGACAGTAGTACATAGACAGCGCCCCTATTCACGCAATAATCATATACGGGCCCACATGAATTTTAACAGCTACAACCGTTTATTGTTGACAGATATTGAAACATTAAGACTTGTTCCTTGTGTGACAGCGTATTTTAAACTGGCTAGAGATTTAACAAAATGCGCTCTAGACTTGCTTTATTTAGGGATTTAGCACTGTAGAGAGGGCTTGGCAGTAGGGACAATTATGTGGTTCAGGGGCTGTGAGACAGACTAAGTGAATGAGTGAGTTTAGTTTTACGCCGCTTCTAGCAATATTCCAGGAATATCACGGCAGGGGGCACCAGAAATGGGCTTCACACATTGTACCCATGTGGGGAATCGAACCCGGGCCTTCCGGGCGTGACGAGCGAACGCTTTAACCACTAGGCTACCCCCACCGCCCCTTTAGCCAAAGAAGAAAACGATAAACAATCTACTACCGCATGACTTTCCATTGATGATCCGGGTAAGAATTTGTTTCCAGCAACCCATGCTTGCCGTAAGAAGCGACTAAGGTGATCGGGTGGATCAGTCTCGCTGACTTGGTTGACACATGTCATCGTATGCCAATTGCGTAGATAGATGCTCGTGCTGTTGATCACTGGATTGTCTTGTCCAGACTCGATTACTAGCATATCGCCGTCATGTATATCTGGACTATTTCTTTGTGAGGCATTTTAGAAGTTTATATAGATGAAGTGAAGATGGATGCGACGTTTCGGTGTAGGTACTAACACCTTTATCAAGCAATATACATTTAATTGCTAATGAGTGACTTGAGCAGATTAGGTTGATGTACAGAGTGATAGTGATTAAAACAATATGTAGAATGAGTTTATACAATAGATGAGTTGATGTACACTGAGACGGTAATAGTGAGTTGAAGAGAGTAGGTTGACGTACACATTGATTGGCTGTGATTACAATAAACAAATGGGGAGCATGGAAACCAATTGGACGAGGTATGGGTGAAATACTGGTGATCTTTAATTAGGTGGTGATAGACCGAGAAGATAAAATTACCTTGATCCCGGTTCATTGTGGGGTTGAAACGTTGGATTTTTATGTCTTCAAGAAGTTTCCAAATCTTGTTGTCTGTTTGGTTGGTTTCCAGGATGTGGATGTTGTTCCAAAGGATGGCATGGTCAGGGTTGGCTTGGGTGTGGTCGGCTATGGCGGATTTGGAGTCGTTTTTCTGGACTGAAGTTTTGGGTTCTTTAATTCGTAGTGGGAGAGGGCAGGACGTTTCACCTATGTAAGAGTCTCCACATTGACAATTGATCTGGTAGTCTACTCCTGTGGGGTCTTCTTTAGTTGTTGATGGGGGTTTGCCGGTGGCTTGGGGGAGGTTTTGGATGGACTTGCCTTTCTGGAGCAGAACGTCTATACCTGCTTGCTGCTGAAGTAGTAGTCTCATCTAGTGGCTGGCTGCTGGGACATACGGGATACGTATTACGAAGGGTGCTGATTGCCGACGGGGTGATTTATCTCTTGGGTTGAGGGTGGATCTGATGACGTTGTTAACTAATTTCTAGGGGTACTGGTTATATTCGATGAAGACATGGCGGAGCCTCGGAGGTGGTTTAGTTCGGTTTCTAGGGCTTCTGTTGAGGAGCAGATGTTCTTGGCTCTTCGGGTAAGGGTGGAAATGATGCCTTTCCTAACCTGCAGAGGGTGATTAGAGGTGAAGTGGAGAGATTGGTCGGTATGAATGGGTTTCCTGTAGAAAGTGGTGGAGAGCTTGTTTTCTTGTTTCTGTAACCAGGACGTCGAGGAAAGGGAGTTTGTTATCAGATTCTTCTTCCATTGTGAACTGCACACGGGGATGTTGAGAATTGAGGTGGTCGAGGAGGTGTTCAGGGTCTTCGTTGGGGTTGAGGACTACAAAGGTGTCGTCTACTTTCCTGTACCAGCATATTGGAGCGATGGGGGATGTCAGCAGGCCCTTATCTTCAAGTTCCGTCATGTATATCTCAGTGATGATAGGGGAGAGAGGAGAACCCATGGGTTTGCTGAAAGATCTTGTCAGACCAGGTAAAATAGGTTGAGCTGATGCAGGATTATACCGTCAATCCTGAGGTGGGTGTCTAGGTCGGGGTGGAGGTCTTCAAGTCTTCTGCATGTGATGGTGAGGGCTTCATCTCTGGGAACATTCGTGAAGAGGTCTACGACATCGTAGCTGATTAGTCTGAATAAACTGATCTTTGTGCAGAATTTGGCAGAGTCGGCGACGAAGGATGAGGCTGATATACCAAGGGGGGCGAGGAGTCGGGCAATGTGCTGAGCGGTGTTGTAGTGGACGGTATTCCTGAAGCAGATTTGTTGTTTTAACTTGTTTTAATTTCATAGCTTACGAATTACATTAAATTAAGCAATAAATAAGGACAACGTTCCTATGTTCCATGTGCATGTCTATAGTGATGATAATAACATCCAGATTGTTACATCTCCATGTCACGTGATCAAACTGGATTTGCTGATTGGTCCAATAACCACTGAGAATACTCTGGAACTAACACTGTACAGTGTTATTTTATGGAGATAAAACAATGTAAAACCACTTTCTGGGCCATAAATCACTGTGACATTTTGCATAGAGGTAGAATATGCAGTAAATGCAGTACCCTGAGCCTTCTTAAAGTGGGGGGCGGTGGGGTAGCCTAGTGGTTAAAGCGTTGGCTCGTCACGGCGAAGACCCGGGTTCGAATCCCCACATGGGTACAATGTGTGAAGCCCATTTCTGGTGTCCCCGCCGTGAAGTTGCTGGAATATTGCTAAAAGCGGCGTAAAACCAAAACTCAGTCAGTCAGTCCTCAAAGTGGATACAGAACACGCTGGTTTTCAGGCGACGAAGTGTGTACTGTCTTTTGCCCAGCAGCTTTTGAGAATGTCATGACAAAATTTGTTAACAAAATGAATACACGGTGACTTTCTGTGTTGGCCATAAGGTGCCTGACTCTGACAGTGTCGGTTACATTTGTTATCAAAAGAAAATCAGCTATTGCTAGATGCCTACACATGGTCAAACAAATTTAAAAATCCAAAGGAGCGATGTTAATAAAACGTACTTGGCAAATTGATGCATGTTCCTATTATGCTAGTGTATGGCTTCGATTTGACTTGAGTCCTTATATACGTGTGCTGGATGATACGACACACGATGAGGTATTATACCTACCTATAGATATCTGGCTATGACACAGCCATCTGGCTATGATTGATACCTATAGATATCTGACACAGCCATCTGGCATGACTTATATACGTGCTGATGAGACATGAGGGTATTGATACCTATAGATGTGACACAGCCATCTGGCTATGACTATCAGACAATTTGTCATGATGAATGTCACGTAAAGGAAGTACTTAGTAGTTACAAGAGACCAGTCGCTGGAGGTAGAATGTTACATTGAGTAGTGAGGGACAGGCAGGTGGGTGGAATGGGGAAATGATGGATCTGAGAGAGAGAGAGAGAGAGAGAGAGAGAGAGAGAGAGAGAGAGAGAGAGAGAGAGAGAGAGAGAGAGAGAGAGAGAGAGAGAGAGAGAGAGAGAGAGAGAGAGAGAGAGAGAGAGAGAGAGAGAGAGAGAGAGAGAGAGAGAGAGAAAGAGAGAGAGAGAGAGAGAGTTGCAAAAACGTGGTGATTTATATTTTGTTATATTGTTCGTAGGTTCCCATAAGTTAAGACGCAGTTCAAAAGTCGACTTGGATTTAGTAATAAATTACTGACAATTTTGAAAACAAAAGCCTTTGTTATTATACCGTTGAAAACACGGCCAATTAAACATGTACATCATAGGAACCTTTGAGAGAGAGAGAGAGAGAGAGAGAGAGAGAGAGAGAGAGAGAGAGAGAGAGAGAGAGAGAGAGAGAGAGAGAGAGAGAGAGAGAGAGAGAGAGAGAGAGAGAGAGAGAGAGAGAGAGAGAGAATTACGTGTATATGATCGGCCACTGGCGTGTGTCTGTAATAAACATAAGCTCTACATAGTTGCAATGACATTTATTTCCATATTAAAACAATGCTTCGATAACTTCATATATTTGATTGCCATTCGCCAACATGAGAGTAATTGTGATTGAAATATATAGAGTATTCGTTTACTGTTAAATCCTAGTATAAAACTAATTCAATATTTTCGAGGGACGACGGTGACTCTGTGGTTTAATATCTGTGCAGAGTTGCGTCCCTTGAACATGCTTCAAACCCTTGATTGTGGGTTCGAATCATATTTCAAGAGTAATGTTGTCAGCAACAGATTCATGCTCGTGGATTTCACCAGAGTAGTATACATTAGAGAACTTGCATCACTTTTGGCTTCCCCCCAAAATCAACCCGCCCTGATAGAACTGGAATGGGGTTGAAATCAGAGTTAAACCAAACTCACTAACTCACTCATTACAGCAATTTATAGCACAAAATATGTGTTAGTACAGTCATGTTTACATGTACAACTATTACAAGCCAATATTGTTATTTCGCAAATACTATCTTTTAAAATAAACACATTGAAGGATGTACAAAAAAACATCAGATTGTAGCAATTTAAAAACAATACATGTATTAAATTATGATATATTTTAGTAAATTGAGGCATAAGGGCTGATTAAGGTTTGTAAATCAGCAAAACGGCGCAAATCGGTTGCGTCTCACAAGTTTTAAAGATGAGTATACGGACACTGTGTATGTTGTATGGCAAGAACCCTGCCTGTCACAGTCGACGGTAGAGAATGTTTATGAGCGCTTTGAGACACAGGCATCTACCGTGAAGGCAGAATGACACCATGACAGATTGGGAGCCGCCATCTTGAAAACGGGATAGGGCCACCTTGTGAACTACATTCAGGTTTGCTGACTCGGAGACACACACTAACCTCATCAGGTCGTGCGTGTTGTGTAGTCCATCCACCCCTACTGGAGATGTTTTGTGTATGGGACTATATGATGTTAACCTCAAACGTTGTATGAATCGTATAGGCGAACAGCTGAGTTCTGAAGGCTGATATGTTGTGATGTAAGTATTGTGACACACACTTCATCCAATGGCTTCCGTTCTGACGGAACGTATTGCGCGGGTTTACTTTAGACATGCCGGTGGTAGCCTGAACAACGCGGTCCTATCTCCGATGGTTGATTATGCATGCATGCATATGTAATGCATGATGTAGGACGGAAGTGTACCTGGACATTTACGTTTTCGATCTCTGAGAACAGAAACATGTTGCTGCTGAAACTTCTACTGTGGCTCACGGTTTTTTCGTGCGTGTTTGGAACTTCATCTTCAGTTGGGGATATTCCTCTTGGTTTGCCCTCTGGAAGTGAGATAATTCCAGTAGACCACATAGGACAGTCGCCTCATTTGTCGCCTTCTACAGCATCTGATGGAACGTGTTGTCAAGCACTACCCGGGATATGCGATGCTGATGGTGACTGCACTCTTGGATACACCACCTGTGCTAAGCTGTGCATGTGTGTGTCTGGACTGCCGTCGTACATGTGTGAGCACATGCTGAAAAAGATACGTGATGAACTCACATCATCAACCCAGCCTACAATAAATGCATCCTCTGCTACCGATCCCAGTCCCATCTCCACATCTACCTCCATACCAGTTGGACATTCTGAAACCGTTGACATCTTCCCATCTTCATCAGTGGATTCAGTACCCGGTTCTCCATACCCGTCGCCTGTCATGGGATTTGCCTCCGACTCTCCAAGCCTATCCCATGAAGCTTATAATTTGACTTCAACCCCAAGTCTTGATGCATCTCCAGTTACTGTTTCTTCAACTCCAAGCACTCCACCTCATTCAGTTGCATCAGATGATATGATCATTGACAAGGAACTCATCACACCAACCTCCAAACTGCAGACTGCATCCACAGAACATCTGAACATCCTGGAACTCCCCACAACGTTGGAGACAACAACATCTCCATCACTTACTCATGGCGATATAGACAATAGAATAGGACAGTTGCATCCAATAGATCCAATCATCACATCCAATCGATCCCAAACAAATGGCTCTAATAGTATTGACGAAACAGGTCATGAGATGACCACTGAAGACTTTTACTCGGACTTTATTCCCCCAACAATGGATTCTGCCTCCCCCTGTGAAGACTGTAAGGGCACCTGCCTCTTTGACTGGAACAGGGTGCCAATGTTCGAATGCGAGGATGGAGAAGACCACAAATGCCATGCCTTCTCCTGTGGGGATCACGGGGAGTGTGTGGAAGACGCAAATGAAGTTAAATGTGAATGTTTTGCAAACTACACAGGGATATTTTGTGAGCATCTCTGTGATCTTGATTGTGGAGAGAAAGGAGACTGTGCCTTCTTCAATGAAACCATGCATTGTGTGTGTAACTGGAATTATACTGGCGGGCAGTGCGAGGAACTGAAGACAACACCTGCTCCATCTGTGAAAGGTAAGGCACTGCAACATCGTACATTATAAACATCGTCATGTCACCATAAATATAAAACTCATCAGTCTTATGGGACTTGTTTGATATAATATGATGTGTTCCTTTATGAACTGACAGGGTAAGATTCATGGTACTGAGTGACATACTGTAAGTGTGTATTCTTGGTACAACATTTATCAATATGCTGTACATTGTCATGACTAATTTCGATGTACACTTAATTTAGTGAAACTAACTGTTAAACATGTTTAAATGAATACTTTGATTTCAAGTTATTAATGGAATTAAAATTCTGTAAATGATTATTGCAACAACCATGGGGAATCGAGTCGATTACTCCCCTGTGACAGACAGGGCACTTGTATCAGGTATAGTGAGTGAGTGTGTTTATAGTGACATCGGCAGTATTTCAGCCATATCGTGACTAAACTAGTTATACATATGCATGTATATGCATGATAAATATTGTTACATTTGTAAAAAGAAACTGTCGACGAAGGACAGTAAAACCGACTAGAATATCACCGAATCAAGAATTAAAACTAGCATCAATCGCTAAAATTTTATATTAATGACAATACAATATAAAAAACGGGCCATAGATCACCAACAGCTGAAAGTAGATCACCATGCTAGGGACCATGGGGACTTACTCTACTTTTGCTACCTGCATGGAGCCTACCTGGATTTACGTCATCCCTTCAGCCGTTGGTGATTGTAGTTAATTTTAGCCATCATTTAAAAACACAAAGATACTAGATTTAAATATTTGGTAAGCTTAATTTGATTTGAATGTTTTGGGACTTACGTACCCCCAGTATCAGGTATAGAGTTATGTTTATATCATATATACAAGCACAAGACGTTAAGCTGCAATCTATAACATCAGCTGTGAGATGACCTGAATAGCAGCGGTAGCAAGTTGGGGAAGGTTAAAAGGACATGAAAGAGACACTCTCACTGTGTCACAGAAAGGTCCCTGTCTCCCCCTATGTGTAGTTTACATATGGTTTACATATGCTAATATATTGATGTGTATCCCACACAGAAACTTCAAGCATCACCAGCTGTTAACTTACAAAGGGTATACCAACAACGCACGGGTTGTCTTGACAGGACATGTTTGTGGCATAATTAATTACTCCGAGTCCAAGGAGTATTTTAGACCAACTGTCGCTCCTGGCGCATCTCCTGGGAGATACTGACGTAACTGGGATCCAACATTTTTTTCCCATTATGGTTTGAAATATTTACTTTCAGTAATAAATATATATATAAATAAGTAAATATTTCAAACCATAATGGGTTTTACATATGAACCCATTATGGTTTGAAATATTTACTTTCAGTCATATATATATATACATCGTAAAGTAGATATATTATATTATATTTTAGGCTAGAGTAGTATCTTACGAGATCTTGCTACGCAAAGCAATTCTGACAAAAAGTTCATCCTAAGATATGTTATTACGTTGAATATGATAATCAGATAAACATTTATGGCAATACGTTAATCCTAAGATATCATGTTATTACGCTGAATATGATAATCAGATAAACATTTATGGCAATAAGTTCATCCTAAGATATCATGTTATTACGTTGAATATGATAATCAGATAAACATTTCTGACAATACGTTCATCCTAAGATATCATGTTATTACGTTGAATATGATAATCAGATAAACGTTTCTGACAATATATATAAGATATCATGTTATTACGCTGAATATGATAATCAGATAAACATTTCTGACAATACGTTCATCCTAGGATATCATGTTATTACGTTGAATATGATAATCAGATAAACGTTTCTTACAATACGTTCATCCTAAGATATCATGTTATTACGCTGAATATGATAATCAGATAAACATTTCTGACAATACGTTCATCCTAAGATATCATGTTATTACGCTGAATATGATAATCAGATAAACACTTATGGCAATAAGTTCATCCTAAGATATGTCATTACGTTGAATATGATAATCAGATAAACATGTTTTTTCGACCGTCAGACAGGGATAAGTTTGAGATGGCTTTAGGTTATACCAGACGACGTGGTAGGCTGTTTCGTGAATCTTAATTACGACACATGGGCATTAAAAGTGAAGAGTGATGGGACATTTAGTGTTTTGTAACAGTAAACATGGAGATTTATATTTTGTTATATTGTTCGTATATTCCCATAAGTTAAGACGCAGTTCAAAAGTCGACTTGGATTTAGTAATAAATTACTAACAATTTTGAAAACAAAAGCCTTTGTTATTATACCGTTGAAAGCACTACGACATCCTGAAAACACGGACAATTAATATACATCATAGGAACCGTTGTTGTGTGTACATAAACAACCACAGGATATTTGCTCCCCCTGTAAAACCGACAAGGAAAGCATATCTCATGTTTTTCTAGATTGTGAGCTTGTCAAAGAATTCTGGTTGAATGTGGAATCATACCTGAACTCTTATCTTCATGAAGAAATTAGAGTCGACACTTGTGCTATTCTTATTGGTTTCCCAGCCAAATTTTAAGTTAATTTATCATTTAATCTTGATATGTAAAAAGACATCTATTCTTAAGTAGCCTCAAAAAGACAGCGCACTCAGTTCATAAGTTCATTGCCCGCAAGAACAATAAAGGGGCTATGTTTGAAGATGCTTTTAAATAAGTCTCACGACTTCTCGCTTTTCATAATTAGTGTTTCTATATTATGCTTGGTGTTTATATACACTGCGTGCCCAGTAATTAACAATTTGTAACTTTTTCTTGGCATGGTATGTCATTTACATTTCATGACTTCTGTGTCCACTACAACCCCAGGAGTAGGGTGTTATTTAAGACTGAACTATTCTAAATAAAATGTATACATAAACAGCCACATTGGTAGGGTGTTATTTAAGACTGAACTGTTCTAAATAAAAGGTATACATAAACAGCCACATTGGTAGGGTGTTATTTAAGACTGAACTATTCTAAATAAAATGTATACATAAACAGCCACATTGGTAGGGTGTTATTTAAGACTGAACTGTTCTAAATAAAATGTATACATAAACAGCCACATTGGTAGGGTGTTATTTAAGACTGAACTGTTCTAAATAAAATGTATACATAAACAGCCACATTGGTAGGGTGTTATTTAAGACTGAACTGTTCTAAATAAAATGTATACATAAACAGCCACATTGGTAGGGTGTTATTTAAGACTGAACTATTCTAAATAAAATGTATACATAAACAGCCACATTGGTAGGGTGTTATTTAAGACTGAACTGTTCTAAATAAAATGTATACATAAACAGCCACATTGGTAGGGTGTTATTTAAGACTGAACTGTTCTAAATAAAATGTATACATAAACAGCCACATTGGTAGGGTGTTATTTAAGACTGAACTGTTCTAAATAAAATGTATACATAAACAGCCACATTGGTAGGGTGTTATTTAAGACAGAACTGCTCTAAATAAAATGAATACATAAACAGCCAGAGGGTATTTAAGACAGAACTATCTTAAAATGAATAGGAGGTATAGGATATATTTAGTTCTAAATAAAAATTTATTAATGTATACATAAACAACCACAGATGTAGGATGTTATTTAAGACTGAACTGTTCATAAACAGTGACAGGTGTCGGATGGTGTTTAAGGCTGAACTGTTCATAAACAGTCACACGTGTAGGATGTTATTTAAGACTGAACTGTTCATAAACAGTGACATTTGTAGGATGTTATTTAAGACTGAACTCTTCTAAATAAAATGTATACATAAACAGCCACATTGGTAGGGTGTTATTTAAGACTGAACTATTCTAAATAAAATGTATACATAAACAGCCACATTGGTAGGGTGTTATTTAAGACTGAACTGTTCTAAATAAAATGTATACATAAACAGCCACATTGGTAGGGTGTTATAAAACTAAGGGTGTTATTTAAGACTGAACTGTTCTAAATAAAATGTATACATAAACAGCCACATTGGTAGGGTGTTATTTAAGACTGAACTGTTCTAAATAAAATGTATACATAAACAGCCACATTGGTAGGGTGTTATTTAAGACTGAACTGTTCTAAATAAAATGTATACATAAACAGCCACATTGGTAGGGTGTTATTTAAGACTGAACTGTTCTAAATAAAATGTATACATAAACAGCCACATTGGTAGGGTGTTATTTAAGACATACATAACTGTTCTAAATAAAATGTATACATAAACAGCCACATTGGTAGGGTGTTATTTAAGACTGAACTGTTCTAAGTAAAATGTATACATAAACAGCCACATTGGTAGGGTGTTATTTAAGACAGAACTGCTCTAAATAAAATGAATACATAAACAGCCAGAGGTATAGGATATATTTAGGACTGAATTGTTCTAAATAAAAATTTATTAATGTATACATAAACAACCACAGATGTAGGATGTTATTTAAGACTGAACTGTTCATAAACAGTGACAGGTGTCGGATGGTGTTTAAGGCTGAACTGTTCATAAACAGTCACACGTGTAGGATGTTATTTAAGACTGAACTGTTCATAAACAGTGACAGGTGTAGGATGTTATTTAAGACTGAACTGTTCATAAACAGTGACAGGTGTAGGATGTTATTTAAGACTGAACTGTTCATAAACAGTGACATTTGTAGAATGTTATTTAAGACTGAACTGTTCATAAACAGTGACATTTGTAGGATGTTATTTAAGACTGAACTGTTCATAAACAGTGACAGGTGTAGGGTGTTATTTAAGACTGAACTGTTCATAAACAGTGACATTTGTAGAATGTTATTTAAGACTGAACTGTTCATAAACAGTGACAGGTGTAGGGTGTTATTTTAAGTCTGAACTGGTCATAAATAGTGACAGGTGTAGGATGTTATTTAAGACTGAACTGTTCATAAAGAGTGACAGGTGTAGGATGTTATTTAAGACTGAACTGTTCATAAACAGTGACATTTGTAGGATGTTATTTAAGACTGAACTGTTCATAAACAGCCACAAGTGTAGGATGCTATTTAAGATATTCGACTTACTCTAGTCTCAAACGTGACACGTTATTCATTACGTGAGTGAGTGAGTGTAGGACTGAGTATGGTAAGTGAGTGAGTGAAGGAGGGAACCACTCTGTCACTCTGCGAGTTGGATGAGTGGGTGGGTGCGTGGGTGCGTGGGTCTGTCTTGTGAGTGGGTGATCAAGCTAGCTATACGATGTTCTCAAAGAGTCTCGCGGAGATTGATGATGCAAAATATTTCATGTGTACATAGCATATGATCCGCACGTGTTTCTTTACCCTTGACATACAATTCATAATTTTGTTTATGACGACGTGCACGCGTGTGTATGTGTGGCTGCTTGTACTACCCCAGACATAAGCTGGTTTTATAGTACCAGCTCACTGAGAAACCATGCCGCAGTTAAACGTGAATACCCAAATCAGACACATTATACTGACTCCGAGCCGACCAGTCCTTGTTTTACCCATTAATGCCTATATTAGTTTGTGAACCAGAATAAATAACCTGCGTTCTAAATTACAGATATGTTGATTGAAGATTTCGGTTTTCTGAGAAACATAAACACTGACGATGCTCATGCTGTTGATCACTGGATTGTCTAGTCAAACTCGATTATTTGCATATAGCTGGAGTGTGGGGTGGACAAACAGACAAAAAGAAACAAACAAAACAAGCTCAATTCGTGTTTGTTCTCTAATAATGTCACACTGCCGCGTTGAACAAGGTTCGCCTTTTTGTAATGAAAGATTTTTTCAGTGAAGATTTTATGTACGTGTATGTCAATGCATCAAATGAATTGCACCTACGTGGACATTCGATGTTGTGACGCACCTCTATGCTACACAGAGAATACAGGTTCACTTTGCAATACTACGTGACAACCGATTCCATCACTGAACGAACTCGCTTATCTGGTGTCGGCGTTTTTTCTGTTCCAGCTTAAAAAAGTAATCTGTGAATTGATCCAAATTGGATTCTACCATGAGTTCAGTTATTACTGGATTGTGATTGGTTAATTAAGGTCATTCAGAGGTATTTAATCACGTTATATTCCTCTGATTTTTCAACCCGGTATGTATTTTTTTTAAATCTTCATAACGCGGTTATGGTAGAATGGAGATAAACACACTGTGTTGGAAAATCAGAGGTATATAACGAAATGATAATAGCTCTAACGTTTTGATTTAAAAAAATCACGCTACGCTTTTATAATTTCGTTATATACCTCTGATTTTCCAACACATTCCAACTGATTTGCTGGAATATTGCTAAAAGCGGCGTAAAACTAAACTCACTCACTCACTAATCTGTAATGAAATGACGGTCAAACTACAGTTACACAAAATAATTTGGTATTCTGTAACATCTCGGTTATGCAGTGGCATCCTTCAGTTTATATGTATTTCTTGTCAAGATTTTATAAATGTTGTTTTTATTCTCCAGAGTACAGACAAGCTGTCAAGTCCGAGCCTTGGACAGTGATCGGGGTGTGCATTGGTCTGTTTGTCCTGCTGTTTCTGCTGCTGGTCATCCTGCCCTACTGGACATGGCGGAGACGCTGGCTGCCCATGAGGAAACTCGTCCACTACTTCCAGCAGTATGAGGACGATGGTGAGCTACAAGTGCTGAAGGGGTGGTGGGTGTAGCTTAGTGGTAAAAGCGTTAAAGCGTCGCGCCAGAGACCTGGGTTCTATTCTCCACATGGGTACAGTGTGTGAAGCCCATTTCTGGTGCCCCCCGGCGTGATATTGCTGGAATGTTGTAAAACCATGCTCACTCACTCACAAAGGATCAAGGTAGTCATTGAACTATCATTCCTTGCGCTGCTCATACTGCGCTGTGCTGAGTGGCATTAGGCAACAAACTTGTTATTTTAGTGCTATAGTGGCATTGCTATCGATACTCGAGGACTTTGCAGACTGCGTGCCATTGTAATCTGACGATTTGGGGACAAAACTAATAATATCAAACATTTGACCAAGGCTCACAAAATAAATAAATAAACGAACGAACGAATAAATTAGAATATCTGAACAAGGCGACCACTTTAGCGCTGCAAATGTTTCATAAACCTAGTGACAGGATTGTTTTTGCATAAAAGGAAACACTGGTAACCCGTGTTTTGTGATTTATGTCGCTTCGTTGATATATGGACTACCTATTTGCCAAATCCATGTCTCTTGCCGTTTTTTGTCTTTCATTCAGTCCTTAACATGCTTCATGGATAAAAATCTGATGCCATTTAGTGTAATTAATGACTACAGGACTTCCTGCTGGAAGCGACTGTAATCCATCATCTTGTGTCGCAGTCCTGTTTGAACCGCGAATGCTTCAGAAATATAAAACAATGATATTACATCGCCAGGAGACTTGACATTGCGAGATATGCATCGTTTCACACAAACAGTCTTACCTATCAGAAAGTCTGGAACAATGTCTGTAAACCATTCCTTGGCTTTGTAAGATATTTGACAGGTATAGATGTAGAAATTACCGTAAAATTCCCCCAAATAGTGTAAGGCTGTTATGTCTTGACATGCCTCAAATACTGTGTTAAGTCTGTTTCACATCCCTTCAACATTTGAAATTATTCAGATATTGTTTAGATATACATAGATTCAGTTACCAGGCCCTGCCTTAGAACTGTTAGTCCACCAGCGTCTTGTCACCATATTAATCCGGGTTAGAACCGATCGTCAGTAATCCATGCTTGTCGTAAGAAGCGACTAACTGGACCGGGTGGTCAGGCTCGCTGACGTGGTTGACACATGTCATCGTATCCCAAATGCGTAGATCGATGCTCATGATGTCGATAACTAGATCTTCTAGTCTAGAATCGATTATTTATAGACAACCGCCATATACCTGGAATATTGCAGGGTGCGGCTTTAAACAACAAACAAACAAACACAATGTTAATTAATGTTAATTATGCCTTGTGGCTTTGTTCGTATTCCTCAACAGTGAGTCTCTATTTCATTCACAGATGGGAAGGAGTTCGATGCATTTGTGTCGTACAAGTCCACAAAGGAGGATGAGGACTTCGTGGTCCACAAGCTTTACCCCAAACTGGAGAAGGAGCTGGACTTCAAGCTGTGTATGCACTTCCGGGGATTTTCTTCCTGGAGAAAGTGAGTGCTCTTTAAAATACCTAATTATATAATTGGATGATCAAAAGGCTTATTACGAAAGAATCTTTACACTCGAAAATGAAAAAATACCACGCCTCTTTTGAAATCTTTGATCCACATATTTGTGTGGATAGGAATTTCCTTATTCTTCGTAAACGTCCTGTCATTGGTACTTTTGCCCCTTTATCAAATGACTTTTTATTAGACAACCACAGGGTAATTTGTGGATGGCTGTCGTTGGAAGTTATACATAGGTTTAGATATTGATAAGTTGTTATTGCAAACTGTGGTGCCTCTATCTCCAGAATTACTTTATACATTTTTAACAAGGTATTGATGACAACAGTGTTTATGGGTGAAGTTCAATATGAATTAGATTAGCTGCTCAGCTTGCAAGTCACACTATGTACACTGTACACTGCTACTGCTATATAGATACATGCATTATGCCTTAAATCTGCTATCTCAACTCTACCTGCAGCACATTAAGATATATTGTCCAGAATCATGTCTTATGCTAATTATCAACCTGACCCTTGACAGGTATAAGATGTTCACAGTTTCAAATGGCAAATAACGTAATGAAATCTTTGTCCTTTCAATAGTTGTTTATACTTCCGCTGATTTTGAAACAAAGGCATACATAACATAAAATACAGCATTAAGCATTGTACTCTCATTTCTTATGTGTGACATAAGTGACAATGCAGTAAGGGCACGCCTTCTTGTCTTAATATAAACCATTAACCCCGTACTTCATTCCCAGCAAGCTACATATCAAACTGGAAGAAACTTTTTAATACAATGAAGACGTAGTAATGAGGCATGTTGCATATACGAATTTGAAAGTCCAAGTTCATAACATCTTACTTGAAGACCCCCAAATGGAATTTAATAAACCCAGAAACACGACGTGGGCATGTTAATGAAATTTACCTTATGACACTGAGGAGGCAAACACCAGGTACCAGCTATGAATCATGCAGCTACGTGTAGTGTCACGCCAGTGCACATTATACTGCTTTTTATTGGTGACACTCTTCACATCAGCTTCCATTTAGAAAATATTTTTCCATTTTTAAAAAGATTTAGATAAAATTATAAAAATAAAATAAAACGACTCTAGTATTGTTTGAGTGCTGATTAAGCGCCATTATAGTTCATTTGTAGATATATTATTGCTATAAATAAGAACTTTTCGATTAAAAATGAAACAGGTCAAAATCAGCTGAGGTGTAGTTACTTTTGTTTATTTGACATTTATACAGAGATAACTACATTTCTGTTAGTAATGAAAGGCCCCGATTCTATTTATGAAATGATGCCACAAACAGCGTTCGAAATAACGAGGCCCAGCGCCGGTTGTTATTGTATCGGGCCGGCAATTTCAAATATTTGCAGGCCCTTGTGGCCTTCAGTAAATTATCTGTCAAAGTTTGTTTTTTCAACTGGAATCTTTCCCATATTGTTTTTCATTATTAACGTTCGGGAATCTTTCATGATCCATCATGTTACGATGCTTACAGCTTCACTTCCTGGTATTTCAGCGCTTTGAGCGTAGGAATGTCAACACCAGTCTTTAACCAATAAAAACTTCTCCCAGCGCCATAGGCTTCGCTAATTGAAACAATGTGAAAGTTTATATAATATAGTCTATTTTGTTTTTATTGGCTTGATTTTCACCAAATGGGCCTGCAGATTACATTCAGGGCCTGCAGGCAGCAGCAGGCCCTGATGGCCAACTGGCAAAATAAAGTAATAAAACAAATTAATAATAATGGACCGTTCATGTTGTTTGAATTACATGTTCAACTCTTCCGATATTTAGCCATCTTTGTCATAATCTTTCAGCTATTGCCAACAACATAATGAAGGCTGTTGAAAGCAGCAGAAGAACCATTATCATCCTCTCGCCGGCGTATGTGGAGAGTGAGTGGTGCATGCTGGAGTATCAGAAAGCTCAACATGAGATGCTGAAGATGAAGCACAAGATCATTCCGATCGTGTTTGGGGACATGTCTCAGATGAAGAATATGGATAAGAATCTAAAGCAGATTCTCAACACTGTAACATACATTGATTGGCCCGGGGAAGAAGATTCCAAGAAGCTTGACCGCTTTTGGAAACTAATGGTGTGTGCATTACCCAAGAAAAAGCAAGATTCGGGTCAAAGCGAGACTTCCGGCGGAAGTAGTTCTAGTGACCTCCCTCTGACCTCTGTGACCGGAAGCCATTTTCCAGACACTCTTTCTGATGATGTTTTTCCCGAGAAGATTCATTCAAGCAACACTAGTAGTGATGAGTTCAATGTTGATATCATCGCCAGGAATGATATCAATAACAAGCATCACGGCAATGACACTGTGATTAATCTTTCAAATGACATTATGAAGGATAGTTTCACCGCAAATGGCATCAACAAACCTTCAAGTGACGATCATGTGATTGAAATACGGAAACTTCCTGGACATAAACTGAAAATATTCCGTAAATTCAAACTGGACTTGAACATTGGAAGAAAGGCGGCCTCCTAGCGCTGGTTCACCACACACAGTTGTACTCAGGGCATTCTTCCACTCAAGGACAAAATGTGAAAATTATGACGCGAAAGTTATATTGGTGCAATTGTTTTTGTATATCAGGGACAATGTTTCTAGTCCTGCATGATTTCCTGTGTACGGCGTTAAACAAAACAACAACCCATGATTACCTGGCATGCTATGGCCATTCGAAATAAGAGGTAAAACTAAACAAGCCACATCCAGTTATATAGGTTTATTTAGGTTTATTTAGGTTTGTTTACATGCTAGCGTCGAATTTCATTAGTACTGCTGTGCGGCGTTGGCAAAACATACTTCCAGGTTTAGGCAAATTTTGTGAATGGCGGGTGCAAAACATGTAGGGCAATGTAGGGCAAAACATGTTTACCCTTTTTCGTGAACACCTGGTGTCTTCACAGATTGTCAGCGATCTATTCATATGGTTTTCATAGCTATGTTCCCCGTTACACCATGCGGATTTTGTTTCTGGGTATTGTCGAGACTCACGTTCTCTATATAAATTCATATTATTTCGGTTTCACAAACACAGATATTTACTATGTATGAGACATTATTTTTACATAAATCGAAACCCAACAATAGCAATTGTCATTACTGATTTTAAATTCTGAATGACACAATAACAATCGTCATTACTGATTTTAAATTCTGAATTACACAATAACAATCGTCATTACTGATTTTAAATTCTGAATTACACAATTACAATCGTCAATACTGATTTTAAATTCTGAATTACACCTTGAAGACGTTTGTGGAAAAAAAGTCGAAAGTGAAGGAACAGCATTTGACAGGATGAATGATCAATGTCACGTGGTGAACAATTTAGTTCAAAACTTTTTGGTTTCTTTCAAATTTTTCCATGGATAAGAAGCCTAAGATCTGTATAGTAACACCTGCCACTGTCTGGCTATGTATCGATAACACAATCAATCGTCTGAGCGACAACCAAGGTTACTGTTTTATATTGCGTGTCCTATCAACGAAGCACGTTCCTGTCAAGATTTTATTAACACTAAAGACGAAAACTAAAACAACCCCCAAACCCCAAACAAAACAAGCACACGAGAAGCAATAACAAAAGCTAGAGCGCAAATATTGCTTTTAAGCTGCATCTTCAGTGTTGAAGCTATTTGCGGCTACAAGCAAGGCAAAGAGATTTAAACAAGAAATTAAACACTGCAAAGCACTGAAACCTCATTGGGTAATAGAACCTTTTCTGTAGCAGCACCAGCTCTATGGAACAATCTTCCAGTCATCTTTCAAGAACTTGTTGAAAACCTACTTCTTCAAGATGGCTTTTGAATAGAACTCTCTTTTTTTCCCTTACTGTGTTTTAACAATGTATGCAGCACCGTTGAGCATCTGTGATGGAAACTAAGCGCTATACAAGCCACTTAGTATTATTATACCGAAATTAAACTGAAATGTAGACACATTTACGAAATGTTGTTATGATATCTAAGCACCGTTTCGAATGGCCATACATATTGTTCAGTGTAGCATACACACTTAGACTCTAATACCCGTGAAGATCCGGGTTAGAATTGATCTTCAGCAACCCATGCTTGTCGTAAGAGGCGACTGACGGGATCGGGTGGTCAGGCTCGCTGACTGGGTTGACACATGTCATCGGTTCCCAATTGCGTAGATTGATGTTCATGCTGTTGATCCCTGGATTGTCTGGTCCAGACTCGATTATTTACAGACCGCCGCCATATAGCTGGAATATTGCTGAGTGCGGCGTTAAACTAAACTCACTCACTCACCTAGACTCTAATACACCTGTACATACTTCACATATATTAGACTCACATGTCTCATCAGCCGAGCATAATTTTATTACCATGTAATGTACAGAATGTACGGATCCGGTGAACTGAAGGTAAAGAATATGGATTCAAATGTAAGGAATAGGTAGGATGAGGGCCACTTTGGCACACAGGAACTACGCAATATAAAACATTTTCTAAACCCTCAGAAATTGGTACGAAATATAAAGATACAGATAAAACAATGAACCGAAAAGGAGAATTTGACTGTTTTTTTAATCAGGAAGCGTTTTCGAAAATTTATAATGACTCAAGTATATTTTCATGGGCGATGAAGATAATTTAGTGCCGACATGTTGTAAACAACTTCCTCTCTTATTACGGATTTGATCGTGCTTTCATGTTAAGTCAGAAAATTGTGTATTTTCACTCACATTTCACAGCCATATTTATGGAATTGATCATCTGAAAAAAAAATTAAAAAAATATAAACTTGCAGTGTATGAAGAAAGAATGATCAGATGTCAGTCCTTTGTACACACACAATATCATATACTTCATAATTTTAACATTTCCTGTTGCCCAATAAGGGTCCTCATCCTCCCCCCCCCCTCCTGTGAGAGCAAACTTTATTGAATTAACACGTGTCATATAGCATTAGGGCAAACATATTGAATGTATGACTTGTCAAAGACAAGTTCAGAATGATGTACCTATTTTCATACAGCGAACAGCTAAGAATATGTAATTTGTATTTCTAAGAAATATATTTTCCCTGTATTAGAATGAAATTGCACTGTCAACATGGTTTTTGTGATATATACTTTGGTATGGCTCCACGTATTCCAATTAATACAGTTTGTAGATTTACCAACTTTAATACACCTAGTATACAACTTAGCTATCAAGTGTATATGTATTTAGCCAATACTCATGTTAGACTGTAGATGTTTGTACCTCACACATAGCATGTTATGACTTATGTTTGTAAGGTATGTGTTTGTATCATTTTTACTGTGTACATATATTAATTATCAAACAATAAAACTAAAGGCACACAATTATTGTCATTAATGTAGTGTCATCCATTATCACAATTTCGCTCGTCACGCCGAAGACCGGTTTTGATTCCCCACATGGGTACAATGTGTGAAGCCCATTTCTGGTGTCCCCCGCCGTGATGTTGCTGGAATATCCCGAGAAGATCCGGGTTTCTAATTGGTCTTCAGCAACACATGCTTGTCGTAAGACGCGACTAACGGGATCGGGTGATCAGACTCGCTGTCCCAGCTGTATTGGTGGATGCTCATTATGTCAGTCACTGGTCTGTTAGATTATTAACAGACTGATGTCACATAGCTTGAATATTGCTGAATGCGGCGCAAAATATTAAACGTCATCCTAAGAAATCCTCAAATCGACTATGTCATAAGCATGCATTTATGATTCACTATGATATAGTGACGCGTTATCGGCGTATCCTGCCTCGCTGTGGCCTGTTACAAAGTGTTCACTGGAACGGATACGTACAAGTCAAAATAGGGCATTGTATCAAACATAAGTTTGGTTATTATGTTAAATATGGAAATGTCTGCAGTAAAGCGTTTGAAAGAGGAATGTTGTAACCCAGAGCAACAGCTGTTGTTTGAAATTTTCGTAGAAAGAGCGTGTTGGATTGTACCTCTAGACATGCAGCCACCAAGAGATGAAGATGTTGGAACAATACTCCACATAAGGCGATTTATACTCTTGAACCTTGAAGTCCTCATTCATACAGTCTATCCTAAATATGAAGCCTCATGGACAGATCTAAATGTGTGACAGCTCAGATGGTTTCACTGTTCCCTTTAATTAATGGTTCAGGCGGATAAATCAGTGTGCCGGTATTGGTAAGATGGCTGTTATTGGACGACCATCAATGTGCCTAAAGTTAAATAGTAGTTAACATCGCGACAAACGTTCCTGCTTTCGATTAAAGAAATCAACTCAGAAAGGAGTGGTGCATAGGGGCCCAGGAGGATGCCTACTACTTGAGCTCAGTAGCCCAGGAGGATGCCTGCTTCTTGAACATATGGCCCCTGAGGATGCCTCATTGTTGAGCACAGAGGCCCTGGAGATGCCTCCTTCTTGAGCACAGGGAGCCAGGAGGATGCCTACTTCTTGAGCAGAGGGACCCAGGAGGATGCCTGCTTCTTGAACACAGGGACCCAGAAGGATGCCTCCTTCTTGAGCACAGGGACCCAGGAGGATGCCTCCTTCTTGAGCACAGGGCCCCTCAGGATGCCTGCTTCTTAAGCACAGAGGCCCTGGAGATGGCTCCTTCTTGAACATAGGGCCCCAGGAGGATGCCTCCTTCTTGAGCACAGGGCCCCAGGAGGATGCCTGCTTCTTGAACACAGGGACCCTCAGGATGCCTGCTTCTTAAGCACAGAGGCCCTAGGGATGCCTCCTTCTTGAGCACAGGGCTCCAGGAGGATGCCTCCTTCTTGAGCAAAGGGGCCCAGGAGGATGCCTCCTTCTTGAGCACAGGGCCCCTCAGGATGCCTCCTTCTTGAGCACAGGGACCCAGGAGGATGCCTCCTTCTTGAACACAGGGCCCCTCAGGATGCCTGCTTCTTGAACACAGGGGCCCAGGAGGATGCCTCCTTCTTGAGCACAGGGCCCCAAGAGGATGCCTCCTTCTTGAACACAGGGCCCCAGGAGGATGCCTGCTTCTTGAACACAGGGACCCTCAGGATGCCTGCTGCTGAGCACAGAGGCCCTGGGGATGCCTCCTTCTTGAGCACAGGGCCCCTGAGGATGCCTACTTTTTGAACATAGGGCCCCTCAGGATGCCTGCTTCTTGTCGATGCCTGTGTCATGCCTTACATATGACTTCGTCTTAAGTTTGAGGTACTTTTGGTTGTATTTAACGACATACTACACATTCAAATTTTTTCTTTTGGGTTACGTACGCCGTTGTCAATAATATTTGCGTTCTGGTAAACAAGTACATGGAGTAGGTTGAAATTTTCCTTATAAAGTATACATACGTTATGTGGTAGACATACAAATGTACGACCATTTAAAAACAAACCCTGCAACCCGATATTGAACCTGGAATTTCGAATATGTAGTGAACGTCAGTTAGAAGGAGAATGAGATATAAGATAGAGTTTGAGAATGGATAAAATAAAACATCCCACTATTTCTCCGGTCACAATGTTCATGGTAAAATTTAATTAGCTTGCGAAATATATTTATTTATGACCAAATACTTCACAAACCAGTGGGCATTTTACAGAATCCCTTCCAAAATACTTGAAATTACGTATTTTTTTATTAGGGATTTTAATTTGTATCATATATACTAGCCACATAAAGAAACTGTGCATTGTCAAAATATTATCCCAGTTGATAAGTACGATAACAATGTCAAAGGTACATATAAACTTTAATGGAGGGATCATGAGACCATAACAAGTCGGGAGAATTTCAATTGAAAAGTCAATCACAATGACGTCACGAGTCCACAAGCGGGACAGGGGTCAAACGACCATGTCACAAGCTCAATAACGGGTATGTCCACCATCGGCATTGAGAACAGCAGTGCATCGATGGCGCATAGAGCCGATCAAACGTGCAAGGAAGGCTTGTGGGATGTCACGCCAGATTCTCTCAAGTTCTGTTGCAAGGTCAAGGACTTTATCTGGCGGATGAGGAAGACGGCGTAGACGTCGATCCATCTCGTCCCAAACATGCTCTATCTGGGAGAGATCCGGTGAATTTGCAGGCCAAGGTAGTAAGTCAACGTTGTGGTGTTGCAAGAAATCCATAGGAACCCTTGCCGTATGAGGGCGGGCATTGTCCTGTTGGAATGTTAACCCAGGGCCATGACGTTGCAGAAAAGGAATTGCCACAGGTCGAAGAATCTGATCCCTGTTGCCCACACCAGTTAAGTTGCCCTGAACAATCACCAAAGGAGTTCTTTGGCGTGCTGTTATTTTCACCCCAAATCATCACGGAACCACCACCAAAGCGATTCCTCTCCAAGGCACAGGCCTGTGCATAACGTTCTCCCACGCGTCTATAGGCACGTTGACGTCCATTACTATGGGAAATGTTAAACCTGGACTCATCTGTAAAAACAACATTTCTCCACCAAAACAAGGGTCTGCGGACATGATTTCGGCACCACATTCGGCGAGCTTGTCGATGACGTTGTGTCAGGATAGGCCGTATGGCGGGACGTCGTGGTCTGATCCCGTGATGACGTAAACGTTGTCGAACTGTGTTGGGGTGGATACGGCGAAGTCCTGGGATGGTCGATGACGTCATTTGTGTTCTGGTAGCGTCTCACCAGTGCAGAAATGGTGTTCCGGTGGCAGTGGAAATGTGCAGCCACTTGTCGTTGAGACACTCCCCCACGGACCATCCCAATGGCCTCATGACGTTGTGCAGACGTGAGCCTTGGCATGCTATGCGTTTCAATAGCCGTTTAATTTTTTGAACGATCGCAAGGGCAGGGGTTGAGCTTTCCAAAGTGACAGTATTGTGTGGCATTCATTTGCTCTGTTTCTCTTTCCCCGGAATGCACGTGCAATAACGTATTGCACGTCTCAAGGACGAACCCACTGACGTCACGGAACGTGGCACGTGCATGCATGGTGGATACATGTCACTAATCTCTGAGTTTAAATCCTTATGTGTCTACACAGGTTTGATAAATTTAGATTTTAAATTTTTGTATGCACAGTTTCTTTATGTGCCTAGTATATGTTTTGGTGTGTTGGTAGATTTTGCAATATTCGCCCCTCCTTCGCCCGCGGTGTTGTCGCCGACCC